AAGCATCTGATTGGCGCCCATGTCAGCTCCGCCGGAGGTTAGTTCATATCACACTCCCATCTGCTATTTGTGAAGACCACTGGCTAACATGGACTCGAAAACAATCGTTTAGGCGTACACAACTCCATCATCAACCTTGTATATATCGGGTATGTTTTTGATCTTCCACATTCACCATTTTGAGCCATCGCTAACATCCACAGCGCCAATGCTTTCGCTCTATTCCTGAAGAACCAGCGTAAATGGGAGACCATTGAGATGGATCCAGAACATGCTGCGCTCTTCATCCAGGGCTGCAAGGATCACGGTATCAACGCTGCGGAGTGCTGTCTGCCGCACGGTTCCTACCTGGTCAACCTTGCTCACCCCGATCCCGCTCGCAAGAAGCAGGCCTACGACTCGTTCTTCAACGACTTGACACGCTGCCATGCGCTTGGCATCCGTTACTACAACTTCCACCCTGGAAATGCCAATGCCACCACTCGCGAGGAGGGAATTCGCATCATTGCCGAGAACCTCAACCGAGCACATGCAGATCCGGCGACTGGTAGCGTTGTCACTGTACTTGAGACAATGGCAACTCTCGGCAACACCATCGGAGGAACATTCGCTGACATTGCCGCCATCATCAACCTCATCAAGGACAAGAGCCGTGTCGGTGTTTGCCTAGACACCTGCCACGTCTTCGCCGCCGGCTACGATCTTCGTTCCCCTGAAGCCTACGCCACAACCATGGACAAGTTTGACCAGGAGATCGGCTTAGAATACCTCAAAGCCTTCCACGTCAACGACAGCAAAGCCCCTCTATCCAGCTTCCGCGACCTCCACGCCCGCATCGGTACCGGATACCTCGGCCTCCAAGCCTTCCACAACCTCATGAACGACGAGCGCTTCCACGGTCTCCCCATGGTTCTCGAGACCCCCGTCGACAGCGTTGACGCCAACGGCAAGAAGGTCGAAGACAAGGGTATCTGGGCGCGCGAGATCAAGTTGCTCGAGAGCCTGGTTGGCATGGACAACACCTTTGATGAGTTCAAGCAGTTGGAAGCAAAGCTTCTAGCCGAAGGTACCGCTGAACGCGAACGCGTCGGCGATCAAGTTCAGCGCAAGGCCATCAAGGACGCGAAGCCTAAGAAGAAGCGTGCTACCAAGAAGAAGGTGGAGAGTGAGGATGAGGACGAGGAGGACATGGAAGAATGAGAAACAGCCACTTGAGTACGTCGGGTAGCGCCATCAGAAGGGATGGGTGGCGCTTGAACCGTTTTACCCCTGAGGTGACTGTTCCGGCTCAGGTGTTATCCCTTTGATCGTCTGGCGGAAGATGGAAGATGGGTACGCGTTGATGAGAGCGGGAGAAAAGTGGGTTGGAAATGCGTTGATTTGACTGAATTTTGGCTTCGGCCTTTTTTTCCCTATGCGATACCCCATTCCATTGCATGGAAAGCATTTTCATCAGGGGGCATGCTGGGTATATACCACACGGAATCACAAGACACATATCATGAACGGTCAATAGTTCTGACAAGACGTACGTAACTGCACTGCAAGCTGCTGAGGCATCACTTGGCTCTGTAGATGCGCATCGGCACGCCTTACGTTGACGGTTACGGTGTACCCTGAGGTCTGACTACCTAGTTGGGTCACCGAGATGCCGAGGGCGGGTGCCGAGAATTCGTGTGTGCCGATTCGTCGTGTGCTAATGTGTCGCGTAGGGCGCAGTGCGTGTTAGACCTTACTTTTCTGGCGTTTCGTATGGCTAGTGAGGTCGATGACTGATAAGGTAAGAGGGATGGCCAAGCTTGCTTGTAGTCGAGGTTCGTGGGGTTTGCGGAGTTGGATTTGTTCGGAGGGATCTCGGGAAATTGTGGGGTTGTGGTCAGTGTATGGGAGTGAGGCTTCACATCTTTCAAGTCAAGGCAAGACGCGCGGATGGTTGAGTAGTAATCGCTTAGAGGACTACCTCCGGTGAAACATTCGCTAATTCGAATAGTCTCCGAAAGACTGCCCTATGTCGTCGAGATGCTACTACTGCACACTGATGAAAGAAAGGATGCTTGGATGGACGGTGAAGCAGCCACACCAGCATCACTTGCAGTCCACACTGCATGTAGTGAAGTAACATAAAGTAGGAACGGTAAGCATACCGAAAGCCACAGTCTCAGTTCACTGGCCGGATAGGAGGAACACTGATGCTTCTTGGAGTGTTCGAGGCTTCTGGCGTGGGAGTCTATTTCGGTTCTAGCGGCTTGGCATCCCCCCATCGCTCTTGCAGTCCAGTCTGCCTTTCCGTCCTACTCTACACACGACGCATACGCGGTCTGACGACATGTGTAACACACTCGGCGGGCACGATTGAGACCACTCAGAGCAGACTCACAATACAACTGTCTGCGGCGCGTCCCAGATTCATATAAAGTCTGACCAATCATCTCCACCTTCCATTCCATCTAGCCTGATCAGGTTCCATGTCGCGAACACGTGGGGTGACGAGCGTCTTCTTCAGCCATCAGTCCACCGCCAGATCAGGGTGCCGAACAATAACCCCTGTGGACCTAAGCCTCGCCTGCAGCCACGGTATGGAACTCCCCCGAGACGCCTAACGGAGGCAGGCAGTTTGCATACATCATACACAGCATCGTTCGGCAGCCATATGGCCACCAACGTGCGTTGACAGCAAAGGTCTCAGCTCAAGCTTCTCAAAATCCTGTTGATTTCTACGTCTCATCTTTGCGTCATTTATTCCGCTTGTTGTTCATCCTTGGAAGGTGCATCATTGTGGAAGTATGGTTGGTGTTCCGAAAAGCACTGGGTGCCTCATCTGCCGCAAGAGGAAGATTAGTAAGTCGTCTGTGGCCCTCTTCCTTGCGGATAACGCCTGACTAAGGACAGAGTGCGGTAAGGCTAGCTCCACCAGAACGCCCCGACTCATCCATTCTGACTAGTGACGATCAAGACGAAAGTTGGCCGACATGTTTGAATTGCCAGAAGAATGGAAAGCAATGTCCAGGAGCTCCCGCGCGACACACGTTCAGAGATCTCGGGCATAGACTGAGTGGAGGCGCCACACACTCCTCTGTGGAAGAAACCGCATCACCAGGTAAGCCGGTGTTCAGTGCACACGACTATGATACTGATTTGGTCACAGATCCGGACAGACAATTAACGCAATTGAATGAGAAGTTTGCCGACAATGGGTCCGTCACCCATAAATTCAGGATTGCGAACAAAAGTTCAACACCGCGGAAGCGATCTCCACGATCAAGTTCGATCAGCCTATCTCCACCAAAATCGCCCTTTCTGAGACAACCGTCGCCATCACAGCATCAACAACTCGCACGCTCCTTGATCGCAGCTACCACAACAGGCAGTACTGGGCATCGCATGTCGGTGTTTGGTCGGTTTATCCAAGAAGTACCAGCTAGGATCGGACACAATGCTGCCCTTGATGCGGCAGTGACAGTACTGGTGAATGTCCATACCTCGCTGGTATACAAGAAGACTGCAGACGAGATCGTTTCGCCAGAGCTTTATATCCGGGCTATCAAAACGCTCCAGGGATGCCTCGAAAGCCAGCAATTGGGCATGTCGCCCAATACTCTCTGCGCATCAATACTTCTTGGTCTTGTAGAAGTAAGTCTTGCCTGGTTGAGCTTGCACCCTTACTTACATGCCCAGGCTTTTGCAGGTCCAAGAACAGGCAACCGATACTTGACGCACGTGGGCGGCGCCGGTCGATTAATGGAATTACAAGGGCCTTCTAGATACACGGACAGTTTCACGAAAGAGATGCTGCGCTTCAATAGAGGCGGGATAGTAAGTCGACCATACTCACGTTGATGCAATCGAGTCTATGGACGCAGACATACACGAGAAAGCTAGCTCAAGACTAATCTATCGGTAGATTATTACGTGCATATACGAACGAAAGCCATGCTTTCTCGCATCGCCTGAATGGCGAGATATTGCTTTCGACAAGACCGGGCTCAGTTTCGATGACTGTCTCAACACCGACTTGATGCAATATATGGCCGAGTTGCCTGGTATCTTCAATACGCTGAAAGAGTTGGATGAAACTTACACCCTACAACCGCCCCACACTACGAGCTTTGAGTTCAACTCCAACGGCGAACTGTATAAACCGTTGATCGACACGCCCCCATCACTCGACTTCTCCACCGATTCTTTCGATGATATTGACTTTGTAGAAGACATACGGCCGGTCAAAACATCGTATCGAATCAGCGCAAACCCATACACATCTCAATACGAATCTGTACGGACAGCACTTCTGTACAAGGTATATGAGCTCAAAGACGCGCTCCGCAGTCTAGGCGAGCACATGAACACGAAGCTCACAAACGGCATCGCCGTCTCCGAAACACCGGCAAGAGAAAAGAACAGTCCCATAAAAACTACCTACCACTTCAACAACTGGCGCGACATGACCGCGTACAACTGCTTCTGGTCCGTCATCATCTTAACGAACAAAGTCCTAATGCGCCTCCTCCCACCCTTCGACCAAGCGCGCTATCAACTCCAATCCGAATGCCGCTGCGCCGCCGTCGAAATTTGCAAAACATGGGAGGACGCTTGGGCCAGTAGACCAATCGGCGCATTCCACACTGGCTTGAGCTTTGTCGTGGCATACGAATTTTGCATACCTGAAGTCCAATCGTGGATAGTGAAGAGTTTGAACTCTCTGCTGGATTACCATCAGGTCGATGCGTTTCGTTGGTCGGACGAGGTTATTGTTAGTATGGCGCAGAAACTTGCTGGGGAGGGGCCGGCGGTTGCGTTCTCGAATGTTAGGGTTGAGGGGGATGGGCGATGAATGGGATTCTTATCAAGTTTGCATGCATCCAGGCGTTCGATTTCTCTGAGTTGTATTACGTTACTGATACCCGATAGAAAAACGAAAGAGAAGAGCATACGAGAGGAACTTCCACACATGTCACCTGCGCCCTCTGAACCCTGGACCCTTATGGCTGGCTGCCCGTCACTCAGTTTTGCTGGCTGACGAACACAACCAGCACAGCCGCATACGCCGCCGTAGCTGCGATGACATCCTTCCTTTGCGCTGTTGTCAAGAACCCTAGCCACCCAGCAAATGCCACGACGAATCCGGTGACGGTGGCCAGCTTGGCGATCATTTGCTTCTCCAATCGCCATAAAACCCACATTGCAGATACCAGGAAGCCAATTGAGATGATGGTGCCGATGAAGGTGACAAACTTCTGCATCTTTTGTTCGTTGACGTACTTCGCATTCTTGTTTGACCCGGGGGTCTGTGGGTGTTAGACCGGCTTGCACTATAGGGGAAGAATAGGGACGAGAACGAAGATCAAATTGCAAAGACATACCAAGAAGAAAGGGTATAGGAATTTGTCGACAAATCTTGACAGGTAATCGTTTTCAGCAGGAGTGTACAGACTGACGAGGTCTGTGAACGTGATTTTGTCGCCATATTTGTCCGTTCGGTACTTCAGCTGGTGACCGAGCCATGGCTTCGCAGTCTTCCCATGGAGTTCTGGGCTGGAGATGAAGCGATCGAGTGCCTCGACTGTTCGTCCTGCGGGAGCCTCGAGATGCAGCACGCTGCTGTAAGCAGCCATAAGATTGTCCAAACTGTTGTCAGCAAACTTCAATCGTTCGAATACGGGGTCCCTCTCACAATATTCCATGACCTTGAGACCGAACTGCTCGCTGTGTATTTCGCTTTCTGGTTCGTCTAGACCCCGTCCAAGGCCAAGATCGTCTACACGCCGATCGTGTGCCTTTTCGAAGCCTCTTAATTCTCTGCTTAGCACAATGAGCCGATGCATGGCAAGCTTGTCATATCTTCGGAACACCGCGGCGGACTTGCTAGAGTTCTGGGCGAGGGAATCCGCTATTAGGTACGAACCCTCTTTCAGCAACTGTCTTTCCCAGATTACCTTGGGGTCGTCGCTAGTCTGAAGTCCCGTCTTGCTTATGGTATCAACTTGTTGTGTATTTGGTATTGCCGCTATCTCCATTGCCGCTCTGGTCATCCGATCGTCAGGCTGTCCAGGAGTGTCATGTCGAACCGAGGGACCCATCATGGGAAGAGCAAGGAGTAAGGTCAAAGGGTTGAAGCTAGCAGCTCTGGGTAGCTAAAGGCACTTGTCGGACTTATGGATTCAGCCTGACAGGTGTAAATGGGGGCATCGTCTGTTTTATCCATATTCGATCAACTTGGGGTTTCAGCTCCGGGCGCAGCTTCTGGCGTGTGTCCAGTGAGCGTCAAGGAATTCAGCCACGTCAGCCTTCACAAATAATTCAAGTAAAAGTGTGGTCGCACAGCGTCGTGCTCAAGACACACTGGAGGGTTCATTGCGCAGTCGTTATCGTAAGCTGAGTGTTCGTCTTCACTTGAGCAATCGCCTGCCTCGACTTTCTCCCTTGTCCCCGAAAAACACACAAAACAATAATCATTCCACAGCAAAATCAAGCTCTTTCAACACTCATACCAAACGCCTATGATACAAGAACTGATTCCTTTCGGAGGTCTTCAATCGACGCCAGGCTCGGAATTCGCTCGTCTACCATCTCCCCCTACAATGGCCAAGCCATGGCCTAACCCCGTCAACGCGCCGCGAAGACAGCCAACATCCAATGCATATGGGCTTGACGACATATTCCCTCGACCTCCAGGAGGACGGTATTATGAGAGAGCGCACCCAAACCACGGAAAGACGAAGCTGAGGAAATTCTTCTTCTTCTGGGAAAGAAGTAGTAAAAAGAAAAAGTTTGGGGTTGAAGGCGAGCGTGATACATAAAGGCTATTAAACGGCATGCAAGCGAAGAGTTTAACAGGTATACAGACTACATCAAGATAGACACATGCAAAGTAGGCAACCTAACGTTGTTATAGGTTCTTGAGTGTTCACTTTCTCCCTGGGTTGACGGCACTACCTGTTGTTTACCATGTGCAATTGCATGGGAGGTATGGGATTAATGGCAACCGGGGATTTGGTGGTTAGATGATCGGTCATTAGCTGGTGCTAGTTACTCGCCGCTAAGGTACGCTGTACGCTATTCCCCTAATGCTACATGTGTTTTCTCTTTCATATCAACACCTAGCCACAGTAGATCAGGTCGGCTGTAATGTCCACAAACGTCCAAGAAACCTTTTGCCTTCAGAATATCATCCAGCTGCAGTTCTGCGTAAATGAACCCCTCTTCTGTCTCCAGAGGACCGTCAGCCACCAGGCGCCCATCCGGGCCAAAGATAGCTGAGCTACCTCCACCAGGGGTATTCATGGTGACGCCGGAGGCTGTTCGCAGTGTAGCGATGCCTGCATCACTCATTACCGCTGTGGTATGCAGAACGAAGGATTGCGACTCCATGGCGTAGACTTGAGAGAGGCTGCGGCAACCTATTTACCAACTACATTAGCTAAAGGTTATTCTGGTCGTATACAATATACTGTAATATCGCACCTTCTTTGCTCATGGAGTACAAGCCTGGACCACCATCGTGATCGTACAGCGGCGGCCACGCTGCAACATGTATGGTTTCTCTCTGATGGTACGTGTGGTACTTGAGAAGTGGTTGTGTATGCTCCCAGCAAGCCAGGGCACCAACGCGTCCAACATCCGGCAGCTCCACGACGTTCTGGAGAGCAGAGCCCGATGCATCTCCAAATATCGTCCTCTCCATGTGCGTCGCTTTCAGCTTCCGACGCAAGACTTCAATACTGCCCTCGGCATTGATGATAGCTTGTGAGATGTAAAGCGAGCCTTTGAAGTTCTCACTGAACCCAAGCACAACGGCGATGTGGTGGTCTGCAGCACTCTGACAAATGCGACGCATCTCGGTTGAGTCTGCTTGCAGAGAATTCTTCATGTAAGCTGTCGAGAGCTCGAAGTCTATAGGCCTTGACCTGGCACCACATATCAGCATACCTTGGAAATCGACGAAGGACAATTGTATTCGCGAACGTACCATATCCAGGCAGGATAGCCTGGGATCCAACATTCGGGAAACGACACAAGTTTTGCGCCGTTTTCTGCTGCCTCGCTGATCAAGCGGCAGGTCTTCTCGACAGCCTTTGGTAGGTCAAGCCATGCTGGCTCGAACTGAGCGACAGCAACGCGAACAGTGGATGATGGATGATGTGACATGACGTGGACAGTTTGTTGAGCGTAGAAAAGTAAAAGGTATCTGATCACGTTGTATATTGAAAGAGGGTAGTGATTGCGGGAATCCAAAGAACGGTACAGATCACTATGGCATTAGCGACGAAATGACTGCAGCCGCCAGATAAGTGGGCATGAAGCTACAGAGGTTCACTAATCTTATACAGCAACACGAAAGGCGGGGCTCCCAACTGCCAGCAGCGGGCGGAACCTTCCCGCTGGATAGCCAAGAGTCCCAAGACACGTCCAATCAGGGGTGTCGGCGAGCTTCGAAGCCGACATATCTCTACACCGGCAACCTTATCTTTGATTTCGGCGTTTCTGTGTTGATAGACGGTAATCTTGGTGCTAACAGATGTATAGTGCGACCGAGACAATGCTAAGCCGCAGACATATGGCTCTGTAAATAACATCCGCGCGCGAACTGTTTTGCGACATTCCAAAGTTTATTGACTTCGTACATCGACTTTAAGCAACTCCCCAATTGGTCGGGTATTGAGTATCACATATACATGGATAGTTCCCGAATACACTCCACTGCTCTTCCCGCTTTTCTCCACTGTTCATCGACTCTTATCCAGAAATCTCAATGCCGCTCTGCATTATTGAGCCTGCCGACGGCATGTCGGCACCCACCCTCGGCATGTCGGTGATCCGTCTAGGTAGTCAGTGTGGCCATCAGATACATGCGTCGTTCAGGAGCATGCGCGACACCGCAGGTACCTACGACCCTGATAGATGCTGGCAGTATTTAGGCAGCGATACAGACACAGTCTTCTATACAGCTCTCAACGCCTCGCTATCCAGCCCTATGGCTTCTTACTTGTTCGCGATTAAACTGTCTAGTTTATTGCGATATTTGCTCCAACGTTAGGTAACCTTCTAAAGAGTTGATATCAATCTTTGGCACGTCGATGATTATTCAGAAAAATATGCAGCCTGCCCAGGTGGTCTTCCAACCATCCAAATTTGCGCCTATCTAGCGAGTTTCGCGTACATTTCAGTAAATCCGGAACCGGGTCTTCGGATGAGGGGAAATATGGACGAAGCAGCGAAAGCCGCTAATCTGGAAGAGCCCCGCAGTGCAGATATCGTGTTTGAAGATATCGTTGACCTCCATGGATACCACCAGTGCGAAGCGGAGTGAACATGAGGACCGAACGAGTCCAGATACTTCTACAGGGAGGGTGACCCTCGCGATCTTTGGTCAGATGCTGGTCTGACGTATCACAGCCTGCAGACGTATATCGATCTGATGGAGAAGGATGATGTCTTTCAGATCCCGACCGAGGAAGGGGCAGCTCAGTAGTAGACCTGCTTTAATCCGTTAGTGCCCAACGCTCCAAGCACCACATTCTCTCTAAATCATTCCTACTTTCTCTGCCAGGCTACTCGTAGTTCGCCGAGGTCGTAGGATATATCATGCCACCTGGGCACCCAGCAGCGGCCCGCCCGCGGGTGACAACCCAACTAGGTAGAAACACTACCACGAAGGAGCAGTATGTCTTACTTATATCTGACTTGCATGCGGCTACCGGCGATGCGTCATCAAATCTACGCTTACTGTGGGGGCGAGAAAGCATCTAGCTCTCACGTCGTGGTCCAGACGCTGACCCGTTTCTCCACGTGTGGACCGGCCCATCGGTACAGGCAAGCCACGGCGGCTATTATACAAGACATCAGTCTTTTGGCTTCCATCGGCTAAGTCGTGTATCCAATGCCACGGAAAGCCAACGCACTCATGGCCCTGATGGAACACCCTTGCTTGCCCCGGGCGCCTTACACATCAACTTGGCTATGTCGGCGAGGTCCCCACTACCAGGGCGGGGTGACGGCCCGCAACACGGTCTCGTAATCTACATGCACGATCGATGCAGGATCTAACCAGGACGGAAGGAAGCAAGATGAAGTTGTTTGGTATGCAGAAAACACGAAGCTTTTTATTGTTGTTCTTTTCTGTCATATCTCGGTATGCATGCATCATGACATCATGTTCAACATTGAAACCAAGAAACCAGCAAAACCACAAACCACAGCATGCAAACGCAAGGGCAAAGCGAATGCGAAAACATTACCCCCACTAAAGCAAAACAAGAAGCCAAAAGCGTGGAAGAAAGAAAAAGAAACAAAGCCGTTGCAACCGTCTGCGCCACACGCGCTACTGCCGCAGCAGCAGCAATAGTAGCCGGCACGGCACAGCCCTAGTCCCCACCAACATCAACTTCGACTGGAAGCCTTACATCTGGATATTGCACTTCTTCTTGCACTCCGCGGATCCGATAATAGCTCCAGTGCCCACTTCAGGGATCATTTCACCGATGCTGGCGGGGTTGAACGATGCGTCGCCGAAGCCAGCGCTGATGACGTCTTGAGGGACAGACCAGAGGCTGGGCAGGATGTTGAGGGTGCCGCTGTCGTCGCTGTTGAGAGCGCTGAGGAGGAGCGCGGGTTCGCAGTCTGTAGGTTGGTGTGGTTAGTAAGATGTGCATGTAATCAAGACCGGGTAATATGCAAGGGTCATTTCTTGGATCTTGAGGCTGAGAGCCGCATCTCCAATCAGGTAATAGATAGACAGGAATGTAGAAGGGAGTTTGGAAGACATACCATTGTTCTGCATCATATGCAGACTTCCCTGCGGGAAGATAGTAACACGCATGGGGATCATATCGACCTTGCGTGTCTTGACACCGTTCTCGCCAATCATGTAAGTCGTCGTGTTACCCGTAATGGCAGTAACCAAGTTGGTAGCCCTAGGGTGCAGATGCGGTGGCAGCATGCCACAAGGAGCCAGCTTGAGGAGAGCCATGCTGGAGCCGAGGCCAGTGAGAGCAGGGAAGCTAGCAGCATTGGCGTTGATGACAGCGCCAGTGGGCGAGTCGTAGTCTTTGCTGGAGTCGAAGTCGAAGTACCAGTCTTCATCGGCAGGCAGAAGGGCGTTGCGGTCGAAGTTTGTGGCGGCCATGCGGAGGGCGGCGTTTAGTTCGGGGTTGACGGTGGAGGATTTGGTGTCCGCTGCGGTGATGAGGGTGGGGAGGAGGGAGGTGAAGAGGAGGATGGTCTTGGTGAACATGGTGATGGTGGGGGTGGGGGGTTTGGGGGTTAGGAGGGAAGGTCTGGAGTGTAGAGTGTGGGAGGAGTGAGTGCTTGAGATGGCGAGATGTTGAGACGATGGGTATATGCTTTTATATACCGACAATCGAACAACAGGACGTGATGTTGGCAAGTGGGGCTGATAGATCTGGGAAGCTGCAAGGCAATGGATCGTATCGGCAAGGGTAGAGAGACGGAATAAGGCGTGCTGACTTTGGGGCTGAGTTGCGTTGATGGGTAAATTGTAGTAAGCAAGTGGTGGAGTTTGTCGACTTCGATGCCGTCTATCCAAGTCATGCATGCAGACTTATATAGATCAGGCGGCCGCATGGAAGGCTGGGACTCGCTGCAGTGGAGAAGACGAAGGGCCAGGGCGTGTTCGGTAGACTGGACTGCTGACCGCTCTGTCTTGCTCATCGTCGTAGGCTTTCAAGCCACTGTTACTCTTGCCCGGTGGAGGCGTCGCTAGGAAGGTTGATCGGTCATTGGAGCGTTCCTGACTATGGAGCGCCATTCCGTACCAGCTTGTGTCGTGACCAGCTGTCAAAATTTCCTCGTTCGAGCCGAGAATGTTTGTTCATGGCACTGTTGCTTCCGACGGGCTGCGCTGGTGATTGCTGCATATAATACATCGTGAAGATTATGTGAGAAGCGGTCCGACCCCGGGTGTTGCTGCTTCTGTAAGGTACCTAGGTACATAGGTACATCTCACTTGTCTGCAAACCCGGTTTGCGGATCGATGCTCGAGATTCGCACCATGTGTGCGGCCGCATTGGACCAGGGACCGGGGTCAACATAGCGCGTGGCGTAGCTTAACTAGAAGGGGATGTGATAGATTGCTATGCTGAGTTCTCCGACTGTTACTGGCAAGTTGCAGCTTTTGTGCAAACTCGCTTGTAACGAGAAGTGGTCGTAGGTGTGTGATGAAGGAAGCTCCATCACATGCTATTTGTTGTTACGACCTCTACTTGGGAAGAGACGCCGATTCAGTGTAACAGATTGAAGCTTGTGAGCGTTCCTTGGAGGTCGTAGACGTGCTGTTGGGGATGAGTGGGTCCAGGGTGGTGCTGCATATCAGTCGATGGTCGTAGGCCTTGTGCGGCCCAACAGCATTCGAGCTACCATGATGCGGAAAAATACGTCGAAATCTGACAGGCGCCTTACATGGCTGCGTCAGGCGCCCCTTGGGTACAGACTGGCTAAAAGCGCCACAGTTCTACCGAACGAGGCGGAGCTTAGTCAAGATTGTTGGTGGAGGAACGTCGATATTCTTAGTGACACGGTCGCACTAGAAGATTGCGCCATTGGTCGTTCAAACGCTAAGTTTCGACCAACGGCAATACAGATGTGCGTGTAATTGTGGAAGAAACACAACGCGCCAGTCACGTTGTGGCCTTGTTGCATTAGCTTTGCCGTCTTGGGCGGCTATGCTTTGGTGTGCAGGGATTGGTTAGCCCGACGCGAGTTTGAGAGAAAGATGCCCGCATCGTTGCGCAGTATCTTGTGTATCTTGCTGTGCAGCTTTGAGTGCGTTGGAGAAATGACTTACCACGAAGAGAAATGTTTTGGCAGTATCACAATCGCAACGATACTTCGTCCAGGTCAGAATCGGTCGCGGAGCAAGCGCAGCAAAGGTGCAGCTCTAGATTGATCGTGACACCAAACAAGTTGGCCTTCGTGGATCTAGTTCAGCGTTTCATGTAGATGACTTGAAGAGTGGGAAACCGAACAGGATAGTTTTGGGGGCAATTTAGGTCGTGAATAGGTAGAAGGATTGTACGCTATCCCAGACGCCCCGAGCATCTCCGGTCTTTGGAAGTGATGGGATTCTAGTATAGGTCTCGGGGCTTGAGGTTCACAAGTCCACGTCGTCCCATATTGGCCATTCAGTCCCTTCAATGAGAGCCACACCGGTGACAGCGAACCATCACTATTTGGTAGCAATACCAGCGGAATCAGCGTGATCAGTCTTATCTGAGCGCATGAGATAGGCCATTATCCCCCAGATGCCTCTCATCGCCTCAGTACGGTCATCAACGTTGAACAGATCGAACCATCTTGTTCTTTGCAGTTTTGGGGAAAACCAGTCGGAGTCTGTTGGCGCTTCTTTGGGCAGTCTACCTTCGGTGATGTACTCAAGATAAGCCGGATGTATGCGTAGCTTTAACAGGCTGATGTGGTGGTTCAACGACGATACCATGAAGACCTAGATTGTCGGATCAGCGGAATGAGCTTCCTAGAGCTGTAGTACGAAGCCCTACATCGTCCCACTCAACACTCTTGTCTTTGCCGATGGCCTTGTAGGTCACTTTTGGATCCCACAGTGGGTTTCCAGGTCGCAACGTTTTCCAAATCTCTGCTGGTGACGGCCTGCGGCGAGCCTTGGATCCGTCACGATTCCTGTCGGTGGGTTTTGCTTCAGGTTTGGACGCTGCATCTTTGGACAGTATTTCGATCGCCCCGGTTGTTTCGCCAACTTCGCCCCCGGGTCCTCCACCCCACCGCTCTTTTGTTGTCCACCATCTATCCTCGCCACCTCTTCGCTCAGCTTTCCCCTCTCTAGCTCTCTCTTGTGCCAGCAACAACAACCCACCTAACTCGCGCACAGCATCAAGATTAGATTGCTTCTTCAGGTTTCCAGTCAGTCCAAAGCCAACGTCTGCCCTGCATTGTACCCCCAATACCGGACCTTCCATATAGCCATGCCTGGCCTTAGCCCTATCCTGAGGTGCTTGCCAAGCGACAGAGCTCATGCGAACAGGAAATCTAATGTGCTCAATTGTGAGGACGGGAGGACGGCGGTGTGGTGAGAGTGTCACACCAAAAGCCCATGCAATCGGCTCTATGAAAGCACGCACGCAATCAATGCGGTACTGATCAGGCATCTCGGCACCACTCCCGATACGATAGCCTCGGTAAGACCCGTTTGAGAGATCAACTACCTTGTTCTGAGACTCCATACTCACAGCCCAAGGGGCCTTGGGTGGTGCAGCCCGAGCTGGTAGTATGCGGTTTGGAGTATTTGACGGCACACGTGCACTCACTGGTGCGGCGCTGGAGCCATTGGCGCCTTGGACCTCGGCTGGCCGCTGTCCACTTTCAGCATCTTCAACCTTGGCCTTCTTGCGAGGTTCCTCTTCTTCAGGCGCACGAGACCCTGGCCTCGCTGTGGATATTCGATTCGAATCAGTTTCATGTTTGGCGTCCTGACTTTGGGCATCTGTGGACTCTTGCGGGGAGCTTGAAACCACTGCCTCCCCGCTAGCACTGCCAGCTTCTTGCACTGGCGGAAGATATTCGTCTAGTGAGGTATCCCAGTAATAAGCCAAGTTGTCAAGACCTTCCCAGAACTTTCGGAAATGCGCTAGTCGAAGCTGTGGTTGATCTCCAACACTCTTGCGCGTAAGTGTTGAGTAAGCATCAGCATTCTTGAAGAACAGTTCTCTCGCTCGGACATGGAACTCTCTCTGATCTGGTACCCTTCTGCCGTTGCTCAAGAGTGTGGCCGGGGTATCAGGACTCGTTGCGGCGTCGTTCTCTCCCGGTGATTCTAACCAGGAGGTTGGGGGCAGGAACGACTCTGCGTTGTTTGGCAAGGATGACAATAATGTTTCCAAGTCACATTGGGGCTGAAACGTGACATTCAACAAGGCCAAGGTCTCTTCACTCACATCAGACGGCTTCTTGAGTCGCAAAAAGTGCTCTGATATCCTTGCTCCTGGTTGGGTCCAGGTGGCTGGCAACGTGTTTATTGACGGCTCGGGCGGCTCAAGGGAAGGAAACTTGACGGGTGTCGGTTTCGAGGGTGGCGACCTCTGTTTCTGCGTATCATGCTGCCCCGCAAGTAGGTTGCCTATGAACAAGTTGTCCTATATCAGCAACAATATTGCACGTGCGCCGCACGTCTCAGACGAAACATGTGTGGAATATATACCCACTTGACTGACAGAAGCATGCCAAGTAGCTACCACAGCAAGCAGCTGAGCCCGAGAAGAAAGAAAACATGTATGCGGATTTGGAAGGCCATTTCAGATGCCATCGTAAACCAAGCTCCGAGATGATGTGATTGGCGTAGACTCCCGAGGTCCACTTCGAGCGGGCAGACAAGACCTCTGCGCGAGACGAAGAGACGCCGGCAATGGACCAAGAACAAACCAATAAGAAGAACACTCACCGCTGAAGCTGAACATTATCACAGGGTCGTGGTACGAGGACCGTGATGCTTAGGGGCGTGGTGGAATCGGCGATGGATGTCGAAGTCGAGCGAGGGCCGCGGATCTTCAAACCGGACGTGCGCACCCAACGCAACAACGTCTCCACACCCACCAGCGACTCTCTGCTAGAGCTTTGCGCGAGCATGCGATATTGATGCATTATATCAAACTTCAGGAAAACCAGATATGAGTATTGTGACAGTTCCTCCCCGCAAGCCACGCGCGGCGTAGCCACCTGAACTCTAAGAGCACGTTCATGCATTACCCCGAAGGCGACTGTCAAGTGGTGCCACTGGGGCCAAATGAATCATGGGATGACAAGGCAGACCAGGAAGATGCTTCTCAGCGATTTGGAAGGTGCGAGAGGTCGAACAGAAGTATTTTCCATCTTCGAGTTGCTTTTGCTGTTCAGTCACGTGCTGAGGACGCCTGCTCGCCAGGTGCGCAACATCAGCACCAGCCTCCAACACTCCTCTCCATCCAACCCCATCGCGCATCGTCACCTATGTCATCGCGTCCGCAAGAATGGCTGCCAGAGTGCTTTGTCGGGCGGCACGGCACTCGGCTGAGACGGCCAGGCCGGTGCCGCTCAAGTGTGCGAGGCTCAGCGCGCTTCATGTGCATTGTTCGAAGCGCGATGTGAAGCCGCCCGCGTTTCAGACGGATACAAGCGCACCATACTGTGCCAACGGTTGACTACCACCCGGCCGTTCTTCGAACGCCTACTAACACCTCTCTTCGTTAACCATTCATTCAGCATCACGTAGCGGTAAACTCCAATTTCCCAGTTTAATATGCGCAAAGCGTCCGCGGCGCCTTGTATCCTTTCTCTTCGTCTCTCTTTCTGAGCCCTTGTCGGCGTTTCTTTCCATGAGCTACTGCTCGCATGGCCACCCCTCAAGAGTCCATTACGACGGTAAACGGGAGACGATGCACTCGTTCTCGGGCCCGAACGGCCCTTACAACCTCGACGACTCCAGCAACATCCGCAGCCGCCGCCCCTCCCCAAGTCACTTCGTCCACGACCGTTGAGGCGGCACCCAAGATAGAGACCAGCACCAGCCAAGCACCGCCTCCGCCACCTCCTCCCTCTTCGACGGCACCGGCACCAGCGCCGACTACGTCTGCCCAACAGACAGCACAGCCGCCCCCCGCAGTGCCTACAACATCTACGACGGAAGCAGCAGCAACGTCCGCGATAGGTACGAGTAGCCCGGCCCCTACATCCTCGGAGCGGGTGACACCGCTGGCTCTCGCAACTTCAGCCCGTGCAACGGCAGCGGCTCAGAAGCAGCCAGAAACTCAAGCGGCACCGGAAGCGTCTTCTCCGGCCGCTGCTGTTCCTCTGGCTGTGTCTTCGCAAGCTGCTGCGGCATCACAGGCGGCTGTGGCGGTGTCTTCGGCTCCGCCTCCGCCTCCAAGTCCCATACCAACAAGTTCTGACACAGAACAAATAGCTGTTCCAACGTCACTCGTTGCATCTTCGCGCGCACCGGCTCGCTTCACAGCTCCGGCGATATCCGAAGGTGCCACATCGAACGCGAGCCCTCCGCTGGCGATAGAAACCGACACGAATGCACAACCGTCAGTGACAGAAGCGCCGGCTATCGCAGAACCACAGCCCACTACTTCGCTAGTAGACTCTACACCGACCGGAGGATCGGCTGGCATAATTGCACCGGAACAAGGGAATTCTGGCGACAACAGCCCGTTGACCTTTGCGAACGGTGGAAACATAGGAGGCATAATCGGGGGTGTCTTTGGCGGCGTAGCTGGATTGGCCTTGATTAGCGTATTGCTCTTCGTCTGCTTGCGAAAACGGAAGTCGCGGCCCGTGCGATGGAACGAGAAGCAAGAGTCAGGCCCGAGTTTCCTGGCCAGGTTGAAGACGATACCCAGCGGGGTGGGCGCATTCGTTGCCAGGATTAAAGGAAGCCAATCCGGCCCGATCAGCAATGCCTACCAACGCCACGCTGCGCAAGCCAGCGTTGGTTCAGTGTATTCAAGGGATTCCAATGGCAGAGGTCGATCTACCAGCGAGCCGCAAGGATTTTTCGGTGTCAAGCGCGCAGGCTCCAGCAACAGCATGTCAAGCAAGAAGAGCGAGAGGAATTTGCTCCGGAAGAAGCCAAGCAGCATTTCATCAAACTACCGATTTCCAGGGATTGTCGAAGATACAGGTTCGCCAAATCCTTTCGCTGATCCGAAAAGTACGCTGTTGGTACTCAACCCGGATCCTCGAAGCGCGCCTGTCACACCGCAGGTCCCTGTTGCTGCTGCCGACACGGAACCCAGAGATCCTTTCGCATCTATCCAGGATCCACCTGGAGCTGCACCAGCTTGGGCTCAAGTACCGACTCACCACCATACACGTACTATAAGTTCAGTATCGGCCCTGAGCTCACATCCCGTGTCCTCATTTTATACGGCCGACAACCCGTTCCGAGATCCACCTTATGCACCGCCTGCTCCCAGCCAGGCTGTTCTCCCAAGCCATACCCGCCGTTCGTCCATGGCATTACCAAGCTTCAACGCGTTGTCGACCGTGGATGCAACCTCCACGTTCGCCTCTCGCGACTCTGACATGTTCTTCGGAGAACCAGGACCGAGCAGGCCCGCCACAAACTTCTTCACCCCAATGCCAACTGGCCGTACAGTCCGACAATCGGATCCTTTCGACCTCGACCGACCTGAAGTTCTTGGCTTTACGAGCGTCTTCAACATCAACAGGAAAGAAGTTGCCGGAAACATCACGCGACAACCTACACGAAGTAAACGAACAAGTAGCGTCGGCAATTGGGGTAACGCGGCGCCAGACGCCAATAACTATGGCTTGTTCCCGAGAGACAGCACAAAGCCGCCACCACCATGGGGACCGAACGGCAAGAGATGACGATGACGACAAAATGTCACAACGGAGGACCTCTTACGCGCACAGGACGCGTAAAGACATAATGAGCAACAACACGGACGGCGTCCCACGATCTTTTCTCTCGATGGCAGGAAGTATTCCGCGGGCTCCATCACATCTTTTTTACCCACACACACGCCTTTCCTCCCACTTTCCACATGCACTGAGCGAGCCATTTTCTGTAACATATATCCCCCACTACAGATTTTCTTGTAGCTGTCGTAGCGTAGCATAGCGTAAAATATACCCCTCAATGAATACCATTATGTATACCAGTATCGATTGTTCCGAGGAAAGGTTGTTCCAAGTAGAGGAAATGATTAGTGATTGGCGCATTGATTGTAATGTAAATTGATGTACGATGTCGTACGATGGCGGAGACGGGTGGCGGTTGCCAAGGTGGGTTCGTCGCGTCAGCCTGAGGCAAGGGCGTAGGACGCTAGGTATAAGGTTTGACTTGTGAGTGACAGAAGTCTACTCGGATGCGGGAAATATTTTGGCCGCGAATGCGAGCGGTTCGGATTACATCGTTCAATTCTTGAGTGGTATGGAAGGCATGTTGACATGAGAGACGGGGATGGGTAGTCGCTCTTTCTTGATGTGGCTGACCCCGCTTAGGCAGCCATCAGCGCCTTCCTCTCCTCCCTTTCAACAACAACACACCTCTTCCAGACTACAACACGCCGATCCGTAACAAAATACCTACCTTCGACCAATGTAGCCGAATTCTGGCCTCAGTGCTATCTCGAAATCGATCGTCACTTCCGGCAAGCCATCACTATGCTATGCGATGCTTGCCTAGACATCTTCCGAGGTTCATTTCCTCTAGGATATACTGAGCATCATGGCTCCGCTCAGAGCTTGCAGCGCTCCGTTCTCGAGAAATGTGAACTCTGTCGCATTTTCTGGGATAAGATTCCGAGCATGTCAGCATCAGGTTATGAGGACGTCCAGGTTTCAACGAAGTACAGATTGAGTGCTTACAGAGATACAAGCGCCAAATTACTGGAATTTAGAGCTACTTCACATCCTTACATTCAAGACTGGAACATCTTCTGCGAGCCCACAAATGGTAGGCTCATCTCGTCATGGTCGAGCAGTACATGCTGACATTTGAAACGGGGGACGGCAAAAGTTCTGACAAGGAGAAACCATACGACTGTTTAGACTGGAACGCCAGTATGACGTGTGCAAAAACTTGGTTAGCCGGGTGCATAGAAAACCACAGCGAATGTCCAGCATCTCGCTCGAACGGGCACACAAGCAGCGAAACATCACACTCTGTAGTCGAGCCTGCTCCATATCGCCCAACACGTCTCCTCGAACTCGGCTCCCCAGAAGCCGGAAAAGTACGCCTTCGGCTGTCCTCCGAGCTGGACAGCACTGCTTCACAATATGCAACACTTAGCCATTGCTGGGGGAAATCCAAAACACTTAGGTTGACATCGGAATCATTCGAACGCTTCAGGGATGGCATGTCAGTCACTGACTTGGCAAAGACATTTCAGCATGCTATATCCACTGCGCAATCGCTTGGCATGAAGCTGTTATGGATAGACTCGTTCTGCATCTTCCAAGACTCCAAAGAAGATTGGGCAAAAGAAGCTGGTCTCATGAGTCAAGTGTATCGCAACAGCTTCCTCAACATCGCTTCCAGTATAGCCGTCGATAGCGATGCCGGCTTTTTCCGTGAAAGAGCTTCGAGTGTTGAGCCTTGCGTCGTTCAGACTACGTGGACCGATCATCCGAATGGCACTTACCATGTTTACAACAAAGCCTATTGGTTTGAGAATTTTGAGCGTATGCCATTGAATTCACGCGCATGGGTCTTTCAAGAAACCGTATTGGCTCCCAGAATCCTACATTTCTGTGGTACTCAGATGTTCTGGGAGTGTCACGGCTTGAAAGCCTGTGAGACATGGCCAACGGGGCTGCCGAGTCGCATGGAAATACAGCATTCGCTGAAATCCACAAGATATCCTGCAGGTGTCGAGATCTTTGGCTCAAAGTACACTAATGGCAACGAGCTTCTACGTATATCTACCGACAAGAACGCTACGCTTAATATGACTTCGTTCCGGAGCTTGTGGAGAAAGATCACAGCGGAGTATAGTCAATGCAACCTGACCTTCCCCAGCGACAAGTTGATTGCACTATCGGGAATCGCAAAGCATATGGAGCAGCTTCTCGACATAGAGTACTGTGCAGGCCTTTGGGGACATGACATTGTTCAAGGATTGGCCTGGTATGCTCCTAAGAAAAGTGAAAGGGATTACATATTCCAAACGGAGGCAGATCCTGTTCACTACCGTGCACCTTCATGGTCATGGGCATGTACAGATCGTCACATATGGTGGTATGGGTACTTCCAAGCGGAAGGCCAATGCTTGGTTGACGTCAACCGTTGGGAAGTTCAGTCCGCGACAGGAGACCGAACAGGTGCCGTCACCGGCGCTACTATGCAGCTATGCGGTTATCTGACAACGATGGAGCTTCACCCAACTTTCGGAACCGAGAAAAACTTCAACATCCACTGCGACGGGAAATGGAACAGCATGAATAGTCACGACTTTTACTTTGATCGCCGGCCGCCCTCGTTCCAGTTGCATTGCATGCCGCTTTTCATCGACTGTCTCGGCTACTTGTGTGCTCTTCTACTTGTACCTACGCGAGACACATGCGGCCAGTTTCGAAGGGTGGGTATGTTTCGCACGCTATTTCGTGAGAAGGAACCTGTGGACTGGAATCAGCTTGATAGCTTCAAGAATGAGTCATGGTTGGAGTACGAATCGGTCGATGATGAGGGGAAATACACGGTTACGATCATATAGATACGACCTCAGTTCTGCGATATGAGACTGCAGACGACATAGCGTCGTTCATTTTCCGCTGTGAACCTTTTATCACCTCCTAGAGACTACACATATAATAATGGGTAGAGAGACTCTTTGCAAAGGTGCATGACAGAAATATAGGAAATAAAGCAGGTCCTATGCAACTGTGGCTCAGCCGACTGTATTCATACAACCTCCGTTTCAATTTCGTTGATTGACATCGCAAAAGACGTACACATGACTCTGCGTGACCGCCCACACACAGCAGGCCGCTTCCACCCAACGAGACCAGGGTATGAAGGAGGTAGTAAAGCAGTAGCACCGCAGCTCTCATTCGAAATCATGTAGCTTGATCACCGTTAGCTTGTATCATCGGGTGTTTTGTCGTTCTTCTTGGTGTCTTCTTCGTCCAATTTCGAGGTCGCGAAACATCTTAGGCCTCTTGCTGTGTTTTGGAACAAGCAACGGGAAAGTCGCGAGGAATAAGAGAGGCAAGGACATGGGATTGGCATCTTTCCATTTTAGTCGCAAGGAAGGAGACAGGCGGAGACATCCGGGCGCACGCCAGACTTTTTGGTCGCACAAGGCGAGAGTTGTAGATAGGAAGCAAGAACTCGGTAGGATGAGGGAAGTTTAAATACCCTGGTACCGTCAGGCGCGTGATATGTCGACAGCAGACTCGCCGCCGGAGCTCATCTTTTCATTGTGCTTAACTTTTGGTAATAAGGCAATGATAGTGTTATTTGAGACGCCCGAGTTGTAGCGCTTTCTAATGGAAGCTAAGCTGAACAGCTTTCTTAGATGAGTCGACAGTGGGTCCGTCATATCAGAATGTTCTACCGTCGCACGCACACAGCATGAATGTCTTGCCACTTTGTTTTCTTCTCGACGCGACGACAAACATGAACCGTGGTACAGCTGTTTCTTGGTATTGACGTGCCAGTTTCAATACCATGTTTTTGACACTCGTTTAAGCCAGAAGAGAAAGCGGACACATGTCTTTTCGCTTGGAATGTCGCTGATACCGTATCTTTTGGAAAAGAGAGAAGAGATCATGATCCTTTTTGATCTGAGCTTTTCGGTGTGCACGACTCAAAGGTTGGTGATGAGGAAGGAGAGAGAAGCATTCCTATGAGAAGCTTTTATATGTCTTTGCCTAGCGGCGCTCTCCCCACTCGCGGAAGCCATGGGCGTTGTTTGGGTGCATTTCGAGGAAGCATATTCAGTACTCCAGGCGATCGTCACAACATGTGGATCTGACGAGTAGTTTTGAACAGCCATCCATGAACAAGTAGTTCCATCATTTAGGTTCGCGCAGACAAAGAGACATGGCGTCGCTTTGGAAGGCACATCATTCTAGAGGTGATGTTTTTGGTGCAGACGAGAAGGTCATCAAGAAGTTTGTTTAATATTTTGGAGAAAATCATGTAGAAAGATAATGAAGAAGTCAGAGACCGGCGCTCGTGAAGCTTATATACCTTTCTCCGCCAAGAGACCAAAGAGAGCACGTGTCATGCCATGTTCAAACTAAAGAAAATGATCAATCGCGAGCATCATAAGGCATGCGGGGTGAAAAACGAAGTATTCCAAGTTGTTGCATCTTACAGTCATTAACATTATTCTATGCTGTTTCTATTCGTCTTGATAGAACCCCAGGAGGATATCATCTTCATCATCGCCACATCATTCCCATCTATGCGATACCGAAGACCTTGGTAGGTGTGATGGTGAAGTTAAGAGGGTAGGTGACAAACTGGTTGTACCTGGCCTCGTGGGTACCGGAGAAGTTGTACGCAGGGCTATAACATCGTCAGTCTACACGCTCTCACATCCCCAAGATAGACAACAAAACTTACCGGTCACCATACGCGCCATACTCAAAGCTAACCTCAATCTCCTTCGGTCCAAGACCCTGGCCATCGTGCACCCTCTCAGAAAGCCTAGCCGCAACACCGTTGTTGACACCCTCAAGCAGCTGGCAGTTCTCGTACGCGGAAGGAATCATGAAGCTCTGGTCGTAACCCTGCTCGTAGCCGTGGCAGTATGCCTTGACGCCAGCGGGACCTTCGGGTACGCTCGGGACGGTGATGTTGAAGTTGTAGTAGCAGCCCTGGCGGGAGCAGCCGGCTTCCCAGTTCTCGACTTGCC